CGGACGTGCCCGCCCGAGCGCCGGAAGCGGCGGCGCGCGGGGCGCCGTGGGAGCGTGAGCCCGGCAACATGGCGGAGTGAGTGCGGGGCGGCGGGGGCGGCCCGGGGCTGCGGGCCACGGCCGTGCCGTGCCGTGCCGTGCCGTGCCGTGCCTGCCGGGGGTGCCTGTCCCTCAGTAGCGGCTCGCGGCGCGGGCGGCCCGAGGGCCCCGCGCGGTGCCCAGGGCTCGGCGCTGGAGGCGGCCGCGGTGCCGGAGGCGCTGGGACCGGCAGCGGGGCTGTTGCCGTGCCCGGCAGGGCTGTTCCCGTGCATACCGGGGCTGTTCCCGTGCACACCGGGGCTGTCCCCGTGCACACCGGGGCTGGTGCCGTGCCCGGCGGGGCTGTTTCCCGTGCACACCGGGGCTGGTGCCGTGCATACCGGGGCTGGTGCCGTGCCCGGCAGGGCTGTTGCCGTGCACACCGGGGCTGTCCCCGTGCGCACCGGGGCTGTCCCCGCGCCCAGCCGGGCGCGCCGGTCGTGCCCTCGGTGTCAGCCTGTCGCTGCACAGCGCGATGGGCGCTGCGGTGCGTGGAGCGCTCAGCAATGGCCAGCTCCGTGAGCAGGAGCTTCCAGTCTGTCTGCTCAGCCCGCTTTTGAAACAGCTCCGTGAGGGCCTGGTCACCGTGAGGGCCTGGTCACCGTGAGGAGCTGGTCACCGTGAGGGCCTGGTCACCGTGAGGGGCTGGTCACCGTGAGGAGCTGGTCACTGTGGGGCCTGGTCACCGTGAGGGCCTGGTCACCGTGACGAGCTGGTGACCGTGAGGGCCTGGTCACCGTGAGGAGCTGGTCACCGACAAGCTGGTCACCGGTGGTGCAGTGCTCTGTGCACATCTCTGCTGGGCTTTGTCCTGCTGCTCCCATCCAATATCATCATATAATATTATATTATCCACTATCATCATCTATTATATTATCCAGTATAATCATATAATATTATATTGTCCTGACAGGTCTGCAAATGCCACCCATGAAGTCATCAATGCCACCCTCCACACTCTGCTGGCTGCTACCACCAAGCTGGTGGCACCTACGCCTCCCAAGCCCATCCTTCCTGTTCAGACTGGAGTCCAGGCACAGCAAGAGGAGCAGTCTAGTGGCATGACGATTTTTTTTAGTCTTCTTGTTATAGGTGAATGATGAACTGAAAGTCTGTTAATCTCTGTTAGCTGTGGTCTGTGTCTGAGGACATAGGCCAGCTCAAAATCAGAGTGCTTTATTTCTCCTCTGGTTCTCTCAGAGAAGTGGGATTTTGCACAGGCACGGGGATTTAGGACATTTATGGTGGTGGAAGCCACTGCTTACACTGGTACTTCCTGGTGTATTGCCAAAGTGAAGTCTACTAAATCATTAGGAGAAGTTTACTTGTGTATTTTAAAAATACTACTTAAAATATATTTTATTCTTTTCCAACACTCCTGAATCTCCATTCTTTCCCCTTCACAGCTATCTGCATCATATTGGTGCACTTACTGATAGAATACCGGCTTCATTTCTTACCAGAGAGCGTGGCTGTTGTTTCCTTAGGTGAGTAGCCATGACATTTTTATGTTGGATTTGTGTTCATCCAGGGACTGTCAGTAGTGTGCACTGGAGATAATGCTGTGTTGTGTGTTAGCCATCACTAGAGATACAGCAAACTGGATTCAGTGAAGAAAACAAGTAATTCACAGAGTTACACTGATTGAAGAAATAAAGAAGTGGGCATGCACACAGAGACTGGCCCAGGAAAATGGCACCTGTAGGGATGTCACTGCCTGAGCACTTTGGCATCTTCCTCTGGTTTGCATCCTCAGGGTGGGACAAGATGTGCAGCACTCCCTGCTCATGAGGCTCCAGCCTTTGAGGTGGTACATGTGTTTATATTGGTGTTGGCAGATTTATGTCTGAGTTTGGGATTGTAATGTAGCTGGGGACTGCAACTATCCCAAAAACTCACCTGGACTGCCAGATCCTTAGCTGTCCCAGAGGTATCATGACAAGAGCTCTTCCTATGGCTAGAGTTACAAGAGTGTCACCCTTCGTGGAGATCAAATGTGTACCTAATTTGGAATAAATTTGGAGTATTTCTGAGCCTATAGTTTTATGCCAGGGTAATTTAATTTATTTGTATGCTGTTGCTCCTGATTTATATATTTGTAATTGAGGAGCAAATCAGGCAAATACATTTGTTATTTTCTCTGCCTCTGTCTGATTTTAAAGAACCTGGTCTGAGTGTTCCCAGCACCAATTTTTCAGCTGTGACTTGTCTGCAAGATTCTGTGATATTTTTGCTTCTCTTGCTGATGGTACTTTCACTGACAGTTGTTCTAAAAATACAAGAAGACAAAGATGCTTAGTTATAATCCCAAGGCAGCTCAAAGGACTATATTACTGGTTGAGCAGGTAGGGTTTTTTGATTTTGGGCTAGGCTGGTACCTTCTCTCATATTTCTTAGCTGTATTTTTACACAGTTTCTCATTTGGAGCAAGTGAGCGTCTTGGTGCTTGTCAATAAGTTATGATTCCTGGAAAGCAGGGATCTCCTTGCATTTTGGGTGCTAGATTGAGAAAAGCTTAGAGCTGTTACTTGGCAGAAAGAGAAGCATGTTTTCCAGCAGTGTGACTCCCTGCATTTGTAGATAACTGTGTGTGCTGGAGACCACATCATGTTTCTCACATGGCAGATTTCGGAGCTTCAAGCAGCATTTACTTGCAAAGCCCTGAGTGAGTTTCAGTATTTCTGTTCAACAGAAAAACAAACAGGTGGGTGAGGATCCTGTCCTGGTGCTGGGTGTTGCACACACCCCTGATCTTCATAGCAGCATCATTCATCCCCCAGCCTTTTGTGCCTTTGTGGTTCTGTGCCTGACACGATCAGAGCTGCTGCAGCTCGTCCTGCCTCACGTTGTCATCCTCACAGGAACCACCCAGTGCTTGGTTCACTGCTGACACACTTCTCTTTCTTTCCCTCCTTGCATTATTGCTGTGGGCAGGTGAGATGTCTTGTGAGTGTATCTCTGTGTCCTGAAAGGTGCCAAAAGGCCTCCTTGCATTATTGCTGTGGGCAGGTGAGATGTCTTGTGAGTGTATCTCTCAGTGTCCTGAAAGGCGCCAAAAGCACATCACTGTCCCTTCAGTATCCTTCTGCTTTGTACTCAAAAACCCAAGTACAGGGTGTTGATTTGGTTTCAGATGAGGTTAGTTACCATGGCTGTTAAACAGCTAATCTAAATTTAAACGTAATCCCTGATATAAAATCCAGCAGTATAGTGATTGCTCTTGCTGGCATAGTTTTGGATTGTTTTGCAATCATTCTGTGTATCCTGGGCAGTGCAGAGCAGAAGTGTTGGGCCAGCTTGTGTCCCTGCTCCTGCTGAGCTGTGCAGAGCAGCAGAGGCACAGACATTCTCCTCTTTCTGTTTCTTGTTACTGGCGTCTCAGCTGCAGGAGAAGGGTTTTAGCTGTTGGATTTAGTAGTGGTGTGTGCTGTGCTCCTGTGAGCCCCAACGAAATCCTGTTCAAGAAACAGGAAAGCTCCTTGCCAGGGCTGTTGCTGCTCTCAGGGTGGGTCAGGAGGAGCAGTGCTGCATCTCTTGTGTTCTGGTCAGAGGCTGTGCAGGAAGTGCTCAGCTGGGTTTTGGGGTGGACCACAGCAGTCTGTCCCCCAGTGAGGCAATGGGAGAGCACAGATGCAATTCCTGTGAGTCAGCAGGGTGTTGCAGCCAGGAGCAGCCCAGGTAACTGATGTCCTGTGTTATTCCAGCCTTATGGAGTTAGTTTATAGGCTCAGTGTTATTTGCAGTACTCTGTGGTAGTACAGCACCTGTGTGATCCCTGCAGCTGCCAGCTCAGCGCTGCTCAGCAGCCCTCTGGTCCTGCTAATGCTCTGCATAGCTGCAAGAGCACAGCTTGAGCTTCAAGTATCCAGTTTTGCCAGCAGTGCCAGAAGTGAGGTGTGTCCTGTTTAGACTTGTAAATTAAGTAAATCCTCTCAGGAAGTTATTGAAGGCTAATAAAAGTGGCAGCAGAGAAGAGAGGTATGATTTTCACAAGTGTTTTCCTCCCATTGTCTCAGCTGCTCGGAAGCTTCTGGTTTGTTTTCTGGAGGGTGTGTCTCTCCTGGTGGACAGGGTGGGAGTGCATTCTCTGAGGCTGGATTTTGATCCTCATCCTTATAAGTTGCTGGAATTTTGTTGGTAAAAATAGTTTCCAGAAATGTTTTTTCTCTTTGATTTGCTACTGAGTTTTAACATGTTCTCAGAAAAATGAAAGGTTAGTTGCGATAAGAAAATGCCTATAAAATTTTCAAAAAAAGGAGGTCTAGATTAACTGTTACAGACTTACCCTTCTAATTAGCCCCTTGACAAAACTGACCTGCCTGATTTACTAGAAACAGCTGATCTAGACCTGCATTCATTCATTTAGTAATAAAGAAAGAGTAGTTTGTAAATGTGTGTGGCACGTGAGTGGCTGTATCTGCATTCTGTCCTTCAAGGAGCAGCAGACCTTTGATGTTCCTTCATTTATGTTTTCCTCTTCCTTTCCATAGAAACCATTTCATGGAACAATTATTTCTACCCTCTGGGACCGATGCCTTCCCAGATTTTTGTATAAAGGAAGGCTTAGGCCTCATGGCTTTGTGTGTGTGACACATCCATCAGCAGTAATCCATGTGATTCTGTTTGTGAGACTCTTTTGTTAGCTACAGCGTGAGAGGAGGTCTCATGAGTTACAGAAGAGCACACTTAAAATGAGTTACAGGAAGGCATACTTCAGGCTTCTCAGACACTCTGTACCTTTCATTTGGAGTATTTGGCTTCTGTCCCAGTGTTTGACTGTGAAGTCTCCGTTCTGTAAATTATAAAACACAACTATGCAGAAGCACAGATCTGAAATCTGGCTGAAGACAAGTTCCCTATAACTACTTGAAAACAATTAATGACAGTTCATGAGTTATCTTCATGACTTCCAGAAGAAATCTTGTTACAGCTTTGTGTTTGAAGATATATGGGAGGAAAGAGTGCTGTAACCTTTAACCACTGAGTTTGCAGCAGCCTTGATAAAATTCTATCTTCTGTATTCACATTATTTCTACATGACTTAAACAGTGTGTAATTCATTTGGAAAATAGTTCTGACAGGATCTCCGCCCTGATCAGAGTTTGTTGCCTTCTTCATTGCCAGAAAGTGCTATGATTTCATTCAAACAAAATTCACTTCTGTGGAGAAGACTGATTTCATTTAAGCTGCTTTAACTGCAAATAATATTGAAGTGACATGAAGCACAGATGCCTAACTCATAACTTCCTGATTCTTCAGCAAGAAAGGTGAAATTTCGTTTGAGTGCAGTTTAGACGTGAAGTGTTTTTGAGTAGTTAAGCCTGTTATCTTTCTGAACCAGTGAGCATCACACTCTCAGTCGTTCTGTTTGGAGCTGGGATATCCCAAGAGACAATCTGTTGTGCAGGGAAGCTCTGCAGTTATGTAACATATTGGAAACTGGGTATTTGGGGATTAAACCCAACACCACTCAGTGTTTTCATGGTTTAGGAATGAAACTAACTTGCTGCACTGTGTTTTGCCTTGTTTTCATTTCTAAAACTTGGAGAGCTGATAAACAGTGACACATTTGGTTGCTATTTCAGAATGTTTTCTTATTCTCTCCTAGGTATCCTTATGGGAGCTTTTATAAAAATCATAGAGGCTCAAAAGCTGGCCAACTGGAAGGTACAGTTGTAACAATTAATTTTTAATTGTAGAAAAATCCCTAAATCTTACAAAAAAGGCTTTGTAATACCTGTTCATTCGGGTTCACCACCAAGACCTTGTGCTTGTGGTGGTTCTTGGCTAGCACAGCTGATAGGCAGAGTCCTCATGTTTCATTTTCCTCTGCTTCCACGCAGCAGAAACACAGTCCTTCCTTTGCATTGTTCTCAGTTCCTTGTCCAGCTCTGGTTTCAGGGGCTCTTATGGAGTGCAGTGGCTCGGCCCTGTGGGTTTGTTCGGGTGCAGTGGCTGTGCTGACAGGAGCAGGACTCAGGCTCTGCGCGCACGCTCGCGGGCTGCGGCCTTGCAGTCCAAAGGATGAGTTTTGTTTTCTAAGCCCCCCAAATCCTTTAAGATGATTATTACTGGTACAGGCAGGCATGAGACTTTAAAGAGATGAGTACCTCTGTTTTGAAAGCTGGTGTTAGAACAGAACAGTCCATCAGCTGTTTACCCTGGGTTTAAACAAGTTAATCGGTGCTTGCGGAGGTGACGGCTCCTGCGTGACCAGGAGGGGAGAAGCAGGTGGGTAAAGAGACTGGCCCCTCAGCTGGGATTCATTTGCCTTCTGTGCCTACTCTGCCAGCAGAAAAACCAGGGTGCCAGGCTAGGGGTACAGCATGAGCAGTGTTAGCCAGGGGATGAGATAAGTGACAAAGACTGAGGACACAAAAAAATAGCACCTTACCTCACGGTGGGTTCCATTTATATCACTGCTATGGCAAAAAGGAGCCATCAGAATAGTGCCATTCCATTCAGGCAGAAATCCCTTTTGCTGAGAAGAATCCAGCCTCAGGCCCCTCAGGTGGTGTGTCACCTGAGCCTGGTCACCTGCAGGGGCACTGGGCTGATGATGTGATTTTCTTGTCAGGTGATGAGTTTTCCAGTGGAACTCCCAGTTAACCTGTTCTGTTCAAACAGTGGCCAAGAGGTCACTGTTCCTTGGCAGTCCTTACAGATTTCCAGACTCTCAGATAAAGTGAGAATACTTTTTGTGGAACCAGGAAGATTTTTCCTTTACCGTAAATAACCTGTTTTCTGTGCAGCTTTTTTGGAGACAGTAATTTAAAATAAGTAACTCCTAGTTTTGTATCACTGGGTTGAGAAAGAACAATAGACGTAGCAGCCCTGGAATAGTCTACTGTTCTTCAGTCTGCTACTTCATGATAAGAAGGGAGAAAGATTTTTCATTTCCCATCACTATTTTTTTAATAGCTTTATAGCTTTTCTTTTGGAAGATTTGATGTTATTTCAATAATGATGGTATCCCTGAAATTATAATGATTTTTTTTTCAGGAAGAAGAAATGTTTCGTCCAAATATGTTTTTTCTGCTTTTGCTTCCACCTATTATATTTGAATCTGGATATTCACTGCACAAGGTCAGTCCCTGCCAGACACTCATTTTGAATGTTGAGGTTTTGTTTGGAACAGATTCTGCTTTTAGTTATCTCCGTGAAGCTTAGGATAATTGCATTAAATTCCATTATATTAATCATTAGGGAATTGAGAGTGCAAAATTTAAACCTCTTCAACCCAGAGTGCAGGGGTGTAGCTTGTTGCTGATAACTGAGTGCTGGCAAGGTGTCAGGTACAGCACAGACGAGGTTTTCCTTGGCTGGAGAGGTTTCTTACCTCACAGAGCTGTACAAGGGCTGCTGTGAAGGAGAAGTGGGAAGGTGTGAGATCAGAAGTGGGAAAGTGGGGTCACTCCACAGCTAAAGAAGAGGAAAATGTGTGTAAGGTTGTGACCCTTGCCTGGGGGCCCGTGCTTCCACGGGCATTTCTCACAGCTCTTGTCCTGGCTGAGGGGCTTTGGTGCTCCCTAGTGCAGCCCTTCTGCTCCAGCTGTGCTGCAGGAGAGGGAGGAACAGTGGCCATGGTGGCACCAGGAGCTGCTACCAACACTGGAGACCTTTCCACACAAAACCACAAGCAATGGACTAGCAACTGGGCAGTGTACAAGCCTTTTTCACATGCCCTGTCTCCAGCAGAGGGATGAACTTGCACTTTTGCCAGGTGGGGAATATGTCTAAGTGCTGGTGAACATCCAGCTGTTTGCCTGAGGATTGGGTTCTTGTTATGGTGCCAGACAGGGAATCAGTCCTGGAATCAGGGGGATTGCTGTTGTCCTCAGGAGAGCAGCAGTCTCTCTAGGCAGATGGTGTGGATGTGTGTCCTGGGGTACCTGGAACCAAACTGAGCCTTTCTAATCAGAAACCCAGCTGTGAGTTAGAATCTAATTAAATGGAAACCCAAACATGAGTCTTCCCTCAGGCCATTTGTACTAATTTACTTATTTTGTTACTGTGTTCCAGGGTAATTTTTTTCAGAACATTGGTTCCATCATTCTGTTCTCAGTGTTTGGCACTGCAATATCAGCTTTCATTGTAGGTGGAGGAATCTATTTCCTGGGCCGGGTAAGAATTACTGCTTTGAAGCACTTAAGTTTATCTGGCTTGTTGCTTGAAAGTCCCTTTTTCAAGAGCAGACAAATAGAGTGGAAGTGAATTCCTGGGTCACAAAGTCCAGTTCTCTGCTCTCACAAAGGCAGTGTTACACACCCCTTCCATGGATATTGCTGGAGAGGCTGTGGAGCCTCCCTCCTGGGACTACTCAAGGGCTCTCTGGACACGAGCCTGGTGACGTGTTCCAAGGGCCCTGTGGAGCAGGAGGGGTGGGGTGGGTGATCTCAGGGGTCCCTCCCAACCTGAGCCACTCTGTGACACAGCATGTGTCATGGGAAAAGCAATTGAGACTTGACTTTTACTTTTTCTGACTTCCCAATCTTCGTGTTGGAAGGCTGTTCCAAAACCTGTGTTCTCTAGAGCCATCTTATACTCTACAATATTTTTTTTTTTTTCTTGCTTCTGTGGTTTGGTGTTTCCCATTGGTTACATGTAGACACAGATATTTATCTTTTCTCTCAGACTTCATTCTGGAAGGCCCAGCATTCTATATTTTCCTCTTTGCCACTCGAATTTCTCTTGCTCTGAATGTCTTGGTTACTCTGCTCACCTGACTCTGCTCTAGTTCCCTGATCTTGGGTGACCAGAATTGTGGCAGTAGATTACTGTTGGAGGGCAGTGTTAAACTGGACAACATCACTACTGTGCATTTTTCTTAATAATGAACTTGGGATTTGATGAATAGTTTGGTTTTTAAGAACAGAAGAACACCACAGTTAATTGTGATTATGTTCTGCCTATTCTTTCAGGCTGATGTAATTTATAAACTCAACATGACAGACAGGTAAGCTCCTGGGGAAATGGTGTAGTATATGAAATAAAGCTTTCTTCAGGATAGCTGCAGGTGGGAAATGCACTACAGTTGGCCATCTCCTTTGGTCAGTGTTTAGACTGCTGAGATTCAACATTGTATGTGAAACTAAGAAATAGATGGATACCCTATTTATTACACCCTAATTTCCAAATAGTGTTGTATTATATTCCATTCTTTTGCATTCTAGTGTGTTCTGTTCTGTGCTCAGTGATTTCTTTAGAGACATACCGGCTATTTTAACCAAACTTTAAGATCTGTAAACCTTGATTAGTTGGTATTATTAATATTTGTGATAAGGGTATAACTTCCTTGTCCACTTCCCCTCTTAAAAGACAGAATCAATTTTTCAGAATCAATAATGTAAATTTTTCAAGAACTTGGCAAGTGGCCAAGTTCCTGTGACTGGAAAGAAATAACTTTGTTATCACTGTGCAGAAACTGTAACACAAATGGGCTTTGTTACTGTTGTTCCTGTAAGTTACTAGGTAGATGTTTTCCTTTCATCCAGTTTCCTCTTTTGTGTTCTCCCAGTTTTGCATTCGGCTCGTTAATATCTGCAGTTGACCCCGTGGCTACTATTGCCATTTTCAATGCCCTCAATGTGGATCCTGTGCTGAACATGTTGGTTTTTGGAGAAAGTATTCTCAACGATGCAGTCTCAATTGTCCTGACCAAGTAAGTGCATTGGAGCCACAGTGGTTATGGAAACAGTAACTACATCATTTTCTGTTCGTTTTTTTGTGTGCAGTTGTTCTTCCATCTTCGTTTGGAGCACAGTGTGTGTTTCAGGGGTAAGGCTGAATCTTGTGTGGTGCTGCTGTGTCAGAAGCAGTCCATAACATGAGCTCACGGGCAGGGGACAGTAAATGGTTGCCTCATTACCCCTGCCTCAGTGCCTTATCTCCCTGCCCCTGGATCATTGATTCTTTCTAATTCCATTCATTACCAGCCCTCTTTCCTTTGAGGGTCCTGGCAGCAGGAGCCCCACATGTCAGGCACTGCAATGTTCACCTCCCAGGGCTGCTGTGTCTCCGTGCCCTTGGCTTGTGCCCAGAGTGCCACTGTGGCTGGGGGGAATACAGCACGTCCATGCCGTGGGGTTGAGTTTGTGTTGGGGCTGCAGGAAAGAGGAACATCCAGGATCCTTATCTTTGGCCTCTGATAATTCTTTGGGCTGAAAGAGTAAAGAATGGGCAGATAGATCTTCATCTTATTGCTGAAGCCAATAGATGACTGTGAATGTATAGAAGGAACAGCTGTGCCAAGCAGGTAGTGAAGTCAGAGCAATTTTCTAATGGATTAATTGCTTTGATTACAGTTGTGGTGCTTTCAGGGAAGATATTGAAGGCTAAAAGCAGCCAAAAGAAACATGAGCTAGACTCTGTGTGTTCTTTGCACAGAATTTTCATGAAATATATTCCTGAAATTCAAAGAGGTTTCTCCCCTTTCCTGTTAAGAGCTATTTTGTTTTCCTTCAGTGACCTTCTTGTCTCTCATCCACACCTAAATATTTGATGAGAGTTCTTCCTGTTCATGTGTCCTTCTCAGAGGATCACACAGTTTTTACCACTGTAAAATGTGTTTCTTTTCCTTCTCAAAGTTTGAACCTTGTTTTCAAACACTGCCCATCAGCATAGCCTATTTACGCCATTCTGGGATCCTTCAGAGGAGCAGTGCTGGGTTTTTAGCAGAATTAGGTTTCCCTTTGGGGATTACACTGAGGCTTGATTTAACGTCTTTTGACATTCCTCTTGTTATATATATCACAGTAAAAGCCTTTTAAGAGTGGTAGCAACAAAGGAATGGGAGTCTTTTTTGTTGTTATGCTCAAAAGATGTTTGATATTTTTGGATCCGGGCTTAGAATGTATAACCATTTCTTTTTATTTCTTTTAATTGTATCTAGCACAGCAGAAGGTTTGACAAGGGAAAATATGTCAGATGTAAGTGGATGGCAAACCTTCCTACAGGCACTGGGATACTTTCTCAAGATGTTCTTTGGCTCTGCAGCACTTGGCACACTTACTGGTCTTATTTCTGCATTAATATCCTTTTTTAATTTTGGTGATATATATGTATACATTGGTGAGCTGCAACATTCTAGTAGTATTTTTCTTCCCATCTTCTCCAGCATTTCATAGAGGATATTTCTTATTATACATTATTTTGGTTTTATGTTAGTGTGCAAGGAAGTGTATTAAAAGTGGCATCAAATTTTTATGAACATAATTAAGGTCTGAAATAGTGTAATAGCTTATGTGCATTGGAGTGTTATAAGATATGGTAATTGCTTTGTAAATTCAAAATATATTAATTCCATTTCAATACCAATCCATTTTAACAAGCATATGGCTTCTTTTTTATATACATAAAACAGTTAATTAAAAAGGAAAAAAAGCTGCTTTTCCCTGGGGCCTTTGAGTCAGCCCAGCTTGTTTGTCCCTATGGATCATGTGCAGGCAGCTGAATGCAGACACTGTTCTGTTTGGATTTACCCTGGGTTCTGTTTTGCCTCTTCCACTTCCATGAATTGGTTGCTGAACAAGCCAGGAGCTGCTCTGCTGAGATCAGGAAAGCTGTTTGCTGTAGCCCAGACACCTTTGTTACTCTTTGGGCTTGTTAATGCCAGCTCTGACTTCACTGTGTGCTCTGGGCTGTGCAGCTGTACTTGTGTCAGCTGGGACACACTGCCAAACACCTTGTTTGTAAACAACAGGAAGAGAATGTTTGATTAAATACAGACTTATTTCCCCTTTTGATTCATCAGCCTAATTCAGCAAACTTTGAAATTATCCCATACATCACAACAAAAGAGAGAGACAGATGTTCAACACTTCTTTGACTCATATAAATTATACTAAGTGCAAGAGAAAAGCAGCTTGTTTGCCCTTTACAGTTACCTGTGCCTCAGAAGTATTTAATTTACCTGTTTTTATCAGTATTGTAGAGGCACATCAATAAGAGATCTTTTTTTGTCTCTAGCTGTGTCTTCTGACAGACTTCTACCAGCAGTAGCTTCTATAAGAAACATTCCTCTCATAAGAAATTACTAATCTTTCCATACTTGAGTTGAAGGCCAGTATTTAGATTTTATTGGCTATTCAGTAGAGAAGTACATTAAGCATAATCACTGTTTTGTACCGGAATGAACACACCAAAATATTTCTTTGATTTGTTTTTTAATATACTTTTTCCGTAACATTTCCGTGTGTACGTACTAAAGCACATTGATTTGAGGAAGACACCTTCCCTAGAATTTGGCATGATGATTATCTTTGCTTACCTTCCTTATGGACTTGCAGAGGGGATCTCACTCTCAGGTGAGTAGCAAAGGAGTTCTGACCACACTGATGTGTTAAAATACTTGTCTTGCTGCAGAAGCAGGTTTTGCCTTGTGAGAAGGTGACTCTGGAGGGTCTCAGCAGCAAATCCTTGCAGAGTCTTCTGCTGACTGCCACGTTCTTGCCCACAGGTATCATGGCAATCCTGTTCTCTGGCATCGTGATGTCTCACTACACACACCACAACCTGTCCCCGGTGACACAGATCCTGATGCAGCAGACACTCAGAACTGTGGCTTTCATGTGTGGTAGGTGCTGCCTGCTATTAAATCCAGTACTAAAGTTTAAAATTTCACTTGCATGGAACGCTGGTTCTGCTGGCAGCAGCAGAGGGGTGAATTTGCATCCAGGCATTTGTGTGTCCATGGTGCTTGTCTTTAAGAGAAGAATTCCTGAGAGTGGAGGCTGCAAGGCACTCAAAAGTCACCTTTCCTGCCACACTGGATAAAACATGCAGTAAATCTCTCTCCCATCCTGCAGGCTCCTGCTAAGATTTGCCATAAGATTGATGGCCACATAGAGATCTCTGAGTGGTATTTTTAAATGTTTTTTTTTAATATAAAAAGCTACTTCCAAAACCAGTAATTTCACATATGGAGGTTTTTGGAAGTAGTGGTTCAAGCAGCTCAGTCCTAGAGCCTTTCCAGATCCTTTTGCAAACCAAACCTTTGAAGAAATGACATGTTCCTGCATTACAAACACGTCCCTGATTTCTGGGGGCTGCCAAGAGTGAATTCTGTGTTGTTTGCAGGAGGATGCAGTGTGGCAGGGAGTGGCTTTGCTGCACAGGGAACTTAACCAGTCCTTAGTGAGCACCAGCAGCTCTCCAGGGTTTGGTCAGGAAATCCCATTTTATGTACTGTATGTAGTAATTAATAACAGGAATAGAAAAGGTTTTCTAGAATTGTTTATTTAAATGTGATTTCTCTTTTTCAGAAACGTGTGTTTTTGCATTTCTTGGCCTGTCAATTTTTAGTTTTCCTCACAAGTTTGAAATGTCCTTTGTCATCTGGTGCATAGTAGGTATTTACTTCCTTCCATATCTTTTTAGATGCATTTTTGGTACTGGGGAGGGGGAAACACCTTACAGTTAAAAGATTTTAGAATAATTGTTGTGATTTATAGGTTTTTATTAAAAAATCCTCTGATTCCTTTTGTCTTTAAAGCCACTTCAGCATGCCTTAGTGCAGTGACTCTGTGGATTATGTTTCACATGGGGCTTGCCTCCACCTGTTGCCATTATAATGGTTTAATGTCAGCATTTGCCATAAGATTGATGGCCACATAGAGATGTCTGAGTGGTATTTTTAATGCTTTTTTTTTAATATAAAAAGCTACTTGCAAAACCAGTAACTTCACATATGGAGGTTTTTGGAAGCAGTGGTAGAAGCAGCTCAGTCCTAGAGCCTTTCCAGTTCCTTTTGCAAACCAAACCTTTGAAGAAATGACATGTTCCTGCATTACAAACACGTCCCTGATTGCCATTATAATGGTTTAATGTCAGCATGAGCAGTGTGTTCCCTTCTGCAGGGTGCAGGGAGGGCAGTGTGGGTGCATTTCCAGCTGTGTACTGCAGTGTGCCCATTCAGTTCAAGGGAAGGATTGTTATCTGCAGCTTCCCCAGACAGGGGTGTCAGCACAGGGAGCTGCTCTGCCTGCACTGCACACAGCTTCCCTAGCTAATGTATATCTAAGGTGTGACACTTCCTTCTGTGTGGCATTGCTCTCTCAGGCGTAATGCAAATTGTGTAATTTTGGGGTGATTCACAAAGGAAAACAGCACAGCCCTTCAAGGATCCTGCTGACTAATTCTAGGATATTTACCTTATCAAGGTCTGTTTGTAGTGGAGCTTAAAAACAATGCTCTGAGAAAACCTTGCCTTTTTCTGAGCTAAGGTTTTCTCTGGTTTGTTAATTGTTTGCCATTAAATCAATAGTCCCCGTTTTTTTCTTTTCTGCTCTCAGAAGTGTTGCCTCAGTGTGGGGTACGTTTTATAGCCATACCCAGGGACATGTTGAGAAACAGGCTGACGTGCTATTTGTTTGGCTCCTGGCCTTTCTGAGCAACTGGGCCACGGGGGGACAATAGAAATACCTTATTGCCTCTTGGCTGCTGCACCAGGGGAGTGATTAAAGGAGCTGAACTGAGGAGCACTTTTACCCAAAGTACTTCTTGGTCTCCCTGGAATGTCTCCTGGGTTCCATTTATTTACTGTAAGGAAAGCAACTTGGTCTCCATCAGTGACAGGTCTGATTTAGTTTCAGTTAAGCAGACAAAATGTTTCAGGAGCAAAATTCCACAATGCCCTGTGCTGAGGGGTTTCTCTCTGTTCATGGAGCAGCACACCTGCCTGTGAGCAAAAAGAGCATATTCACCTTGCCCTGTAAACCCAGCTGCAACTGGGGCCTCGTGGATGTAACACATCAAATGGTCTTTTGCTTTTATTTCTGTTTTCCAGGTGCTGGTTCTCTTTGGTAGAGCAGTGAATATTTTTCCACTTTCCTACCTACTCAACTTTTTCCGTGATCATAAAATCACTCCCAAAATGATGTTCATCATGTGGTTTAGTGGTAAGTTAAAGCTCAGAATACTGAGAACCAGAAAAATGTTTTATCTCTTTGATTGTGTGGCCCACTCAAGGACGAACTGGTTTCTCATTGGCTGAGCAAAACTCAGCTGAACATTTGCACTATTCTGGAGCCCAAGTGCAAGGAAATGTTCTCTTTCCCCTTTGTGCTGGAGGACTTTGCTCTGCTGAGCCCCATGAGAGCTTTTCTGCGTGGAGGCTGCTTGTCTCTCTAGGCCCAGCAGCTTCCCAGTTTGAACAGCAGCATCTGAAATGCACAGGCTTGTTTAGGGGGGCAGCCAAGGGGCAGGTGCTGGGCATGGCACAGGATTGCAAAGGCCCTTTTGGGGGTGCAGGGTTGCTCTTGGGGCCTCGGGGTGCTCAGGTGTTGCTGGTGGCTGACTCTGCCTTGCTGCCCTGTTCTCCCCCGAGGATTGCGTGGTGCCATTCCCTATGCCCTCAGCCTCCACCTGGGCCTGGAGCCCATGGAGAAGCGGCAGCTGATCGGCACCACGACCATCATCATCGTGCTGTTCACCATCCTGCTGCTGGGAGGGGGCACCATGCCCCTCATCAGGCTCGTGGACATCGAGGACTCCAAACCGCGCAAGAGGAGCAAGAAGGACGTCAATCTTAGCAAGACAGAGAAGATGGTTGGTTTGGGGGTTCTTGCAGAGCACCACTGGGGTTTCCTGGGGTTTTTTTTTCAGTTCAGACATTTTTCAGGACTAGCACATGATTTTTTACTGAAAAGTAAGATGAAGGCAGTAGAAAAAGCCAAGGTAATAGGGCAAAGCCAAGCAATATAATTTTAAAATATCCCAAAGCCAGAGTTTGGTTAGTGTTTGTACAAAATACGTATTTGGACAAGGGGAGGAGAAATAGTCTCTTAACTCAATCCAATTACAGGCTGATCTGTATAAATTAAAGTAATCCCTGCAAAAGCATAAAGCAGATAATAGAGCATTGAGTCATGTACAGAGAGAAAGTAGTTGGTACAGGGTGAGATGGAAATTAATCATAAAAGGCAGATGGAAATTATTTTGAAAAATCCAAAGGCCATGAGAAGGTCATAACAATAGTCCCCTCTGACTGGACTTTATTTTAAAGCAATTTCTGGCAAAGCAAGAGATCTGACAAAGCCAAAAGCCACTCTGGAACCTCTTGTGCAAAAGATGAGAATAAAAGGTATCACAGAACATTTTTTGCCTGTTTTTCTCTAAACCATTGAAGAGTATATGCAGGGTATTGTTCAGGAGGACCTTAAGAACATTTTCTCTTTGCATGAGGTTGGTTGTAGTCTTTAGAATTACCTTGCACTGTCCACACAAGGAATGCTGGCAGGGAGCAGGGACAGGGCTCGTTTTCAGTGGGACAATGACAGCAGTGGTGCTTGCTGCATTAAAGCATTGTCCAGCTCACAGAGAAAACCTGCACAGTAGAAACCTGTTCTCAGCAATAGTGACAACACAAAACATGGAACATTTGAGGTCTTTTCCCTTTCAGCATGGAAAGGGAAGCTAAGTGGCTCTGGGGTTCAACAGCTGAACAGACTCATACAGTGCTAAGCCCTGCAAGGCTGGGATGGGGATCATTGCCATATTGTGCCAGCAGGACAACTGGTTGTGGCAGGGGAGACCACAGAGCAGGGGCTGAAGCAGAGTGGTGGGATGACTGACTGCCACTTCTCTTGGGTTATTCTGATCTTTGTGATTTTTCTAGGGAAACACTATAGAATCTGAGCATTTGTCAGAGCTCACAGAGGAGGAATACGAAGCCCAGTACATAAAACGCCAGAACCTCAAAGGGTTTATGCGGCTTGATGTGGAGTATTTGAATCCTTTCTTCACCAGAAGACTCACACAAGAAGTAAGTCTTCCTTATTTTCTTGAAGAAGAGAAACTGGTCGAGTTGGTTGTCCTCAGAACCACACAGGGCTCATGGTGCACGTGACTTGTGTGGGGACAGAGGGACATCTGTGTATTGCTCATGCATAGAGAGAGCAGCTGTAATGAGCAGCTGCTCTGTAAGGTGGATTAAGTGAGCATCTCAGAGCTCCCCCAGTTAAACTTGGTGAATGGATTTGCTGAACTCGCCCTTAATGGTGCAGGGAGCCATGAAGGGCATCAGGAGTCACTGGCTGCTGCTGCTGCCACTCGGGCAGAGTTTTTAAAGTGCTGTCACACACAGTTCCTGCCTCTTACTGTCAGTGGTCCTGTGCCTTCTGGAGCTGTGCTGTGGCTGCAGAGTGCAGTTTCTGTCTTGGACATAGGCACCAGCATTGCACCCTGTGCTTTCCAGACTGCTCACTTCCCAGAGACAGGGCTCTGGGGCTGCACATGCAAAACAACACCTGACAGTAACTTAACACTGAGTGGCCCCAAGGTGTAAATACTGTGCCTTTTTCACTCCCATGCTTCAGAAATCTGAGGCTCCTTAGTCACAGAATTCACTGTTTTTCCAATTTCCCATGGAAGCATTTTGGCTGTGGAGTTGATAATTTTGTGTAAGTGCACATTCCATCTTCCTAGCCTGCTCAAAAGTACTGTTTTTCCTCTTGTTTTGTACTTTTCAAAAGTACCATTTCAGCACTTTCCTACAAAAACTAGTCATTTATTGCAAAACCAGAAAGGAATCAAGAAACCAAAGTAAGCATCTGATTCGTAGTTGGTAGCCAAAAGCACAGGCTGCCATCCAGATTGCAACCAAAGGCTGGAAAAATAAGCATGTGAATCACCGTGGCAGGCCACAAGCTTCCCCGTGTCCCTGGGAGCACGGGGGGGAGAGTCAAAGCCAGCATCAGGATTGCTGAAACACACAGAGCAGGACTGTCTAGAGAACACAGGTAGGAATACCATCAGCAGAGCTGTCGTCTGTAGCAGTGATCACTGACCGAGCACGTGCGCAGCGTTTTCTGTTGGGAGGCAGAGCGTGCTCTCAGGGCAGGGGCGGATGCTGTCCCGAGGGCCGTGAGCTGCCCTGGCCCTGCAGAGCCCTGGCACGGGGCTGGTGCAGCGGCAGTGCCAGCGCTGTGCTTCGCTTTGCCCAGGACCTGCACGACGGGCGCATCCAGATGAAGACCCTGACCAACAAGTGGTACGAGGAGGTGCGCCAGGGCCCCTCGGGCTCCGAGGACGACGAGCAGGAGCTGCTGCAGCAGAGCGGGGCCGGGGCACGCTGAGCTCGGGGCCTGCGCAGGAGCGGCCGGGCCCTGGCACGGGGCTGGTGCAGCGGCAGTGCCAGCGCTGTGCTTCGCTTTGCCCAGGACCTGCACGACGGGCGCATCCAGATGAAGACCCTGACCAACAAGTGGTACGAGGAGGTGCGCCAGGGCCCCTCGGGCTCCGAGGACGACGAGCAGGAGCTGCTGCAGCAGAGCGGGGCCGGGGCTCGCTGAGCTCGGGGCCTGCCGGGGCCCATGCTGCGCGGGAGCGGCCGGGCCAGGCCGAGCCAGACTGAGCCAGACTGAGCCAGGCCGAGCCAGGCCAAGCCAGGCCGAGCCAGGCCGAGCCAGACTGAGCCAGGCCGAGCCAGACTGAGCCAGGCTGAGCCAGACTGAGCCAGGCCGGCCCAGCCCGAGCCAGGCCGAGCCAGACTGAGCCAGGCCGGCCCAGCCCGAGCCAGGCCGAGCCAGGCCGAGCCTGCGCGCGCGCTCCCTGTCCAGGGGAAACCACAGCTCTGCTGCCCCGGTCAGGAGGGGAAACCCTCGGGGGTCAGACACTGGGTGGGCTCAGGGAAGAACCTTTTGCTCAGACTGCACTGCACGGCAAATTCCAGGCAGCCTGTTGGAGAGCAGAACCCTCTGCCATGAAATGATGACATTGTTAATGAGGATGGGCTTCTTCCCGTCCCAAAACCTGCTGCGACCACACGCTGCAGTGCAGGGCCCGTGTGTGGCTCTGCAAAACAACAAATTGCACTTTACCTTTTATATATGTATAAATGTATTCATTCACAGCATGAAGAGTCTTGACAGTTTATACTGTGAATTTATTTCAGCACTAGTAAGGGAATCTGACTAGAAGAAACGTATAATTTATGGAATTTGCACATTTTGAACCCAGAAAAGATGCATACCTTGACAAAAGCAATGTTGCACATACAGGGAATCACCTCTGAAAATGCAGTTTTGTCACTTAAGAAATCCTTGATTTCTGTTCTATGGGATTTTCTGGTTTTTATAGTAAGGGATCTGATCCACAGTACTGATTATAGCATGGTTTTGGGGAAATGGGTTCTGTGACAGCACAGAACTGCGTTTGAAATTGTAGTTTCCTTTCTTTGGCTAAAGCCAGTTGCAGTTGGGTTTCTATAATTGGCAGTTGCTCCTTGCTGGCACTTCGGCTTCAAATCTTAGAAAAGAGCAGCTTCTGTTTTGCCTAATTTATGAAGTGTCCCTAACACTCCAGAATTCACCTGTGGAATTTTTAAGCTTCAGTGGAAGCAAAAGCAGCACGTACATCAGGAAAAAGAGCCTACAAAATCTAATCCAGGTACAGGAAGATTAATATTGCACGTGGCTGAAGCAGCCTCTGCTGGGAAGTGCCAAACAGCTTCCATTAAGCTGTCCCATTTTTCTCTTCTGCTTACACTGTTTCAGAATCTGTGTTATCACTGCGTTTGTTCTCCATGGCCCAGTGTTTGCTCAGCCTTGCCAGCACCTGAACGTGTTTGTTGCACATTTGCCATGGTGACACATGCAGCAGTTTGCTCCCACTGCCAAATTCCTCCTTGGTCGTTTGCATATCCACTGCCAGGATGTGAATTACAGTTCAGCACCCAAATCTGACAGGCAAATGCACACGTTTGTTTCTGAAGATGGGAGACTTAGTTTTGGTCTGGTTTTGCTACTGAGTTTTTTAATCCACTGCTTACCTACCGAGAGAATAAAAGTTCAAGAATGTATTCAGAATCCCGCACCTGTTGTCTGAGCAGTTTTTCAAAATACCCGGTCTTGTCCCCTGCCGCCCTTCCCGTGCCTGTGGAAGGGGCCTCACCGCTGGTCCCGGGGCTGGGCGGGCTGTGGAAGCCGCCGGTGCCTGTGTCATCCCTGGGGGATGTGTGTGACCCTCAGCCTGTCTGTCACCCGTCCGGGCCCCAGCAGACGGAGTTCACTTACCCATCACTCCTGCTGCTTCTCCCCTTTACGCCCGGGAGGTCCCTGAGAGCTCCTCAGGTGCTCCGTGCTGGGGCTGCCACAGTGCCCCCGTCCCGCCGCCGCACCCGAGGGCCGCGGCCCGAAGCCGCCGGTGCCTGTGTCATCCCTGGGGGATGTGTGTGACCCTCAGCCTGTCTGTCACCCGTCCGGGCCCCAGCAGACGGAGTTCACTTACCCATCACTCCTGCTGCTTCTCCCCTTTACGCCCGGGAGGTCCCTGAGAGCTCCTCAGGTGCTCCGTGCCGGGGCTGCCACAGTGCCCCCGTCCCGCTGCCGCACCCGAGGGCCGCGGCCCCCGGCCGTTCCCGGTCCCCCCCGGCCGTTCCCGTTCCCGGTCCCTCCCGCTCCCCCCCGGCCGTGCCGTTCCCGCTCCCGCTCCCGGGCCCGGTGGCGCCGCCCCCGCCGCCAGGTGCGCTGTTCGCTGCCGCCCTCTGGCGGCGGGCGGCGGCAGCGCCCCGGGCCGCGCGGCGGTGGGCGCGGGGATCGCTCTGAGGATCCCGGTGAAGACGCTGCGGATGCTGGGTTTAAAAACAACTGTTCTAAAACTTAACATAACATTACGCTTGTCAAACCTTGGAATTAAGTGTGTATTCTGGGAGAGCAAAGCTAACTCTCATTTCGGAACAAAAAGAAGTCTTTACCATAGTGTCCAATGCTTATATTCATTTATCAATACAATGGCTTTTCTGTCAGTCACTTCTCCTTTTGGAGTTTTCACTTAATATGCTTAAGAAATAAATATTATTCTTCATTGACATTTCTGGCAGTTACTTTAGACAATTTCCAGTTTTATCAGACCAATATTAAACCCTAACCCTCTTTCCACAAGTTAGCTCCTCCTTCCTAACCTGATGTCACCTGCAAACCTGTGCAAGAGTGAACTTGATTTCTTGATATTCTCAGCTGAGCAGCCCAGCAGCGGAGGCGGGGGCTGCTGCTCGGTGAGCTCTGGCTGACCCTCCAGGCTGCAGAGATGCTGCTTGCTTTGCACACCAAAGCACTCTGGGCTGTTTCCAAAGCTGCCACAACCAGGAGTCCTCACCTGCCCTTCAGGAGCTCAGCCTCTGGGGAGCCAGAGCAGAGCTCTGACCTGTGCTGATTAAACACCTTTTGGCTTTTCCCCATGCCTGTGCCCCCAGGTGAGCTCCCACCTGAGGCGTTTCCACCTCTGGGGCTGCACTTAAGGGTCAGTGGCACAGGCTGAGGCCACAGGAGGGGACAGCGCAGGACCAGGGCCACGTGCACCCTCAGCTTTGTGCAGCAGCCAGTTCTGGAGCTACAGAAGGGCCTGACTGCAAAGCCTCCCTGGGCATTACTGAGGGCAGCTCTGGTTTGAGCTGATAGCATTTCCATCTGGGCTTCACCCTCACGATTGGAGCAGGAGATGGATGAGTTTTGGGGTCCTGCTGGAGCACAGAGCTGCTGGGGAGGCTGGTCCTGCTCCCAGTCCTGCCCCTGGACAACACCAGGAAAGGAGCTGAGAGCCCCAGCTGGAAGCATTTTTACCTTCAATTATCCACCACAGGCAGAAGGAATTAAATCATTTGGGGCAATGAAGCTGGAGCAATGGGGGGTGGGGGAGCTATTTAAAAAGCAACTGCACTAAAATATCACCACATTTGCACAACTCAGAGTTAAGGCTTCACTTTCCCTCAAACTACACGTTAACCTCCATCGCTCAGAACCACTGCAAGAAATTTCTGCTGTGTTTGATTTTCACATTCATGTACGACTTTGCTGACTTTCCTTGACAGCCACCTTATTCCCCATTTTTCCTCTCCTAGAACAGATGGCGTCCCTGCCACCTTGGCGTTGTAGCTGTGCCCTCAGACTCCCAGGCAAGCCAACACAGTGGGAAATGCAGAATCCATAGTGCAGCCCCCGGGCACCAAACCCACCCCAAGGCAACCCTGGCTCCATTCCTGCTCCGTGCCCTCACTGAGCAGAAATACAGCGCTGCAGCACGACCAGACCCAAGGAAATTGGTTCTTGCAATCAGGAGCCCTCTTCCAAACCCTGCTGGGCCTCAGCTCGAGGGTGAAGCCACCACCCTCTTCTCAGGCTCAGCCCACCAGCAGCACCAGGGGAGCTGCCCGAGACAGAGGGGTTGTCTCTAATCCTCAGTAATTGGTGGCAGCTGTCAGCACCATTCCCAGCTGGGGACACGGCTACATTGGCCCCAGCTGTGCCATGCCCCACGGGATGGAGCCAGCCTGGGCAGTGCCAGACCCTGGACTGGCCGTTTGGCCTGGCCTCAGCACATGGAGTTTGTTGGAATGGTTGGGGTTTGCTGGGTGGCTGCAGCTCCTCGGCCCGTGGCAGCAGGAGTGTCTGGGAATGGAGATTAGACACCCCCAGCACTGGGGCTCAGTGTTGGGCATGCTCACACCGACCTGTGCATGAAAACACTGATCTGGAGGTTTTCTGGACTAATAAAGGACTTGGGGGATTGGCAGGTCATTATCTTTCTCCCTGTCTTCTTTAGATGATCTCTGGAGCACCGGATTTTTAGGCAGCAGGGGCCAAAGCCGTCGGCCAGGGGGCTGGCAGGAGGAGCAGGGACCCAATGCTCTGTCCCCAGGCCTGGCACAGCCCAGTGTCCATCCTGGCTGGTCAGTCCTTGGTCCCTGTCCATCCCGGGGACATGCCCTGAGAGCCCCCAGGAGATGGCAGCAGCCCTTCGTGTTTGTGTCCTCCGAGGGGAAATCGGCCCCGCTCCCTTTCTGGAGGCTCCTCTCCACGGGCAGCAGCAGGATGGCCCGGGGTGGCCCGGGGTGGCCCAGGGTGGTCCAGGATGGCCCGGGGTGGCCCGGGGTGGCCCGGGGTGGCCCAGGATGGCCCGGGGTGGCCCAGGGTGGTCCAGGATGGCCCGGGGTGGCCCGGGGTGGTCCAGGATGGCCCGGGGTGGTCCAGGGTGGCCCGGGGCGGCCCGGGGTGGCCCGGGGCACACGCAGGGCTGTGGCAGGGTCCCGTTGCTGCCGGACACAGCATGTTTGTGGCTCTCTGGAGGCCGGGCTGCCGGGGCAGAGCAGGTTCATGGTGCCAGGTGCCCGTGCCCAGCCCATGGGCTGTGCCCCTCTCTGCGTGCTGCCCGTGGCACCCAGCCCCAGCACGCTCTGGCCCCGGGCAAGCTCTGCACCATCCCCATCTGCATTCCCGTTATCCTGGAGTGCAGCCACCGACACGGAGCTGAACTGAGTCTGACGCTGGTTTTGCACGAGTGGATTTACTTTAGAAATGACAGCTGGAACATGATGAATGCTCAGTGGAGACATGTGAGATGCCCTGGGGATGGGGCACAGGGAGCTTTCCAGGTGGGGTTATGCTGTGGATGGCTTTGCACCAGGCTCTGGCACAGCTTCTGGTTCCTTTTTGTCCCAGGCTCTACCCAGGGTGTGCTGCCCTCAGTGATCCCCAAAGGCCAACTAATCCTTCGGGATGCTGCAGCCCAGGCAGCTGCTGCCCTGTGCATGAGCTGCCCCACTGTCCCAGCACTGGGGACACCCTGCAGCCACTGTCCCTTCTCCAGGGTGCTGCTCACCCACAGATTTGCAGTTCCCTGCCTGCTGATCATTCCCTGGGACTGCCACTACTCACTCCAGGATTATTGTAACCCCAAATCCTTGCTCTAGAGCAAGCTCCCATTTCTGTCTGTGGGACAGTGGTGGCTTTCACTGCAGTGGAGGGAGCAGGATAGCACAGCTGGCACAGAGAGCAGTCCCAGGGACCTGGAGGGAGGTGCTTCCTTACCCCAGGTGAGGTAGCTGTGTGGACAGTGCCACTCCCCAGCAGGACACAGGTGGCTGTGGGGGCTGCAGGAGCTGGCACTGGAGGTAGATTCCCCTCGGGGCCTGCTGGCCCCCAGCCCGCCCTGCCAGGCACGATTTTTCAGACAACCAAGTTCCTACTTGGCCATCAGAGCACCAGGTTGGAAAAACAAAGGCCAAGGGCCCAGAGAGCAAACTGCAGGAGAGACTGTAAGTAAGCTGGGCTGCACCCTGGGCACATCTCAGGCACTGGGCTCTGTTTTTGTTCTTGTTTTTGCGAGTGCAAACACCAGGCTCAGAGCTGCAGGAGCCAAACCAGAGGGGTTGGTCTGTCATCTTCATGTCACTTCAGGTGTGGAACGTCTGGGACCCGCAGGGCACGGGGTGAGAGAATGCTGCGTTTGGGTTTGTGTTCCAGCGCTCTGCTAGGACACAGCTGGGCAGGGCCGGGCTCAGAGCAGCTCCTTGGCCATGGCCGAGGGCAGGGCCTCCCGTGCCACGCTGGCAGTGCCCAGGCCTGGCCACCTCCGTGTGAGCAGCACCACCACCTGCACCGTCCTCCTGAGCCCCGGCTGCCCCGCGGCCCCTCCGGCCAGCACGGCCAGGGGCCCACGCTGGGCAGGGCCGCCGGGCAGCCGGGGGGGAGCGTGGCACCTGGGGCAGCCACTGAAACACTCAAAAACCTCACTGCAGCTGCTGCAAGCACCGGAGCATCCCCTGCAGCCCGCGGCCGGGAAGGGCCGGAGCGCGGTGCCCCGGCAGCCGCAGCACAGGAGGGTGTGCAGGGCCCGCGGCAGCGCCCCGTCCTTGGACAGCAGCTCGTGGAAGCTGGGCTTGAGCAGCAGGTACACCAGCGGGTTGTAGAGCGTCGAGGACTTGGCAAGGACGGCCGAGAGCACGAAGGCCAGCGCTGGCACCTGGCTGGCGTCCCCCAGCAGCGCCCACAGCGCCAGCACGGCGTAGGGAGTCCAGGCAGCCAGGAACCCCAGGCACACGGCGATGCTCAGCTGCAGAAGGAGCAGAGCAGATGGCGGCACCGTGAGCCTCCTGAGCTTTCGGGGGACGCTGACACCCCCCAAACCCAGCCACGTGCGGCAGGACCCTGAGCAGCCCTCACACCCCCAGGGAAAGGTGATCTGCCTTCCGGACCTGTACTGGAATGTGGGAGAGCAGGGCAGCAACTCAGCGCAGCCCATGCACAGACCTGCTCCTGCTTCAGGCCACTCGTGCCCTGTCCCGCCTGGGGAACTCGGGAATGGCCTCAGGCTGCTGTGCCAGGTGGGTGCAAAGGACCCAGTGACCTGGCAGGACCAGCTCAGCATCGGACCCCAACAGCTTTCGGCAGCGCTGCAAATCCCTCCTGCAACCTGTGTGGCTTGGGAGGCCTGGAAGTGGGCTGTGCTCAGTCCCCCTGCCCTGAATGGATGTGGATGTTTCCTTTGGAGCCAGGCTTGCAAGTTGTTTTCTTTCTTGCTGGGTTTTTTAAAGGTTATTCGGGGTTTTTTACATATTCTTGGTAAATTATAGTATTAGCTTGTAGTCTGGGGAACAATGACTCATGCAAGTTCCTTTATGATCTTTTCCAATGTAATTTAAAATGAAAACTCCTCCACCTGATGACTTTAAATGAGGAGCAATGTGTTGTTACCCACGCTGGCACAAACACCTGGAGAATTCCTCAGGAACAGCAGACGCCGGGCAGGAGGGGCCCTGCTGCTCACCTGCCCCTGGGCAGCGGGCTGGGCAGGGCACCCCATGACCCCACAGCCCCTAGTCCCTGGTACCTTGAGGAGCAGCCGCATTCCCTGTTCCTTGAGGAACAGCCCCCATTTTCTGTACCCTGGGGAGCAGCCCCATTCCCCCTGTTCCCTGAAGAGCAGCCCCGTTCCCTGTGTTCCCCATACCCTGAGGAGCAGCCCTGTTCCCCATGTTCCCCCTGTTCCCCGTACCCTGAGGAGCAGCCCCGTTCCCCGTGTTCCCCGTGCTCCCTGTGCTACCCGTGCTCCCCGTGCTCCCCGTGTTCCCTGTACCCTGAGGAGCAGCCCCGTTCCCCGTGTTCCCCGTGTTCCCCGTGTTCCCGGTGTTCCCCGTGCTCCCCGTGTTCCCCGTACCCTGAGGAGCAGGCCGTGCAGGCCGCGGGCCCCGCGCCGGGGGGACGTGTGCTGCCTCACGGCTCTCCGCGACGCCCACACCGTCCACAGGATCAGCGCGTAGGACGCCAGGATGAGCAGGCAGGGCAGCAGGTAGCAGAAGATGAAGAGGGCGAGGATGTAGAGCGTGGCCCCCCGGCCGGAGGCCTCCCAGGTGACGCAGCAGGCTGTCCCGTAGGGCTCGGGGCCGTAGCTGCCCCAGCGGGCCAGGGGCGCGCTGGCGAAGGCCAGGGCGTAGGCCCACACGGCCGGCAGCAGCCCGGCGGCGTGGCCCCGCGAGAACCTGCTCCCTGCGGCGTGGGGAGGGCTCCTGTGGGCCAGGGGCAGCGGAGAGGGAGCTGCCCTGGGGCACCCACAGCCCCAGCCCCGGCACAGGAGCCCGGGGAGGCGCTGGGGTCCGGCCTGGGCCGGCCGCGCACCCCTCGGGCCGGAGGAGCAATGCCGGGGCTCCTGTGCTCACTGCCAGGGCTCCTGTGCTCATGGGCACTGCTGGGGCTCCTGTGCTCACTGCTGGGGATCCACCGGGCACTGCCAGGGCTCCTGTGCTCACTGCTGGGGCTCCTGTGCTCACTGCCGGGGCTCCTGTGCTCATGGGCACTGCCGGGACTCTTGTGCTCACTGCTGGGGCTCCTGTGCTCACCAGGCACTGCCAGGGCTCCTGTGCTCATGGGCACTGCCGGGACTCCTGTGCTCAATGCCAGGGCTCCTGTGCTCACTGCTGGGGCTCCTGTGCTCATTGCTGGGGCTCCTGTGCTCATGGGCACTGCCAGGGCTCCTGTGCTCATGGGCACTGCTGGGGCTCCTTGAGGCCACCCAGACCCTGCCACCTGAGGGACCTTTCCCTCCCTGCAGATTGAAGCTCTGGGGGAGATGTTTTGTTTTCATTTTTGTCCCAACCCCCATCGAATCTCAAACTCTCTGATCTTCTAAGGCTCGCTGTAAAGTGCTGTATCTTCAGACATGTATACAAATAACATTTTGCTTTGAAACTAAGCAACTAAGAGCAAGAAGTGATTCTGCACTTCCTCACAGAAGATGGGCTGGGCTGTAGGTGTGCCCCAAGTGCCAGGCTGCCAAGCACTGGCTGACCAAGAGCAGAGGCTGTGCAGGGAAACGCCACTGCCACGTGGGCTGCCTTTCCACAGCCAGCCTACATCTTCATCTTTCCTCCCACCTTTTTAGCCACCTCCTGAGCTGTAGTGCTGGCACCAAGGTGGCTCTGCTCCAGCACTGTCCTTGAGGCACTGAGAGCTGCTGGGGACACACTGGTGGCTGGCAGCAGACACTGGCTCTGAGCACACGGGCAGTGAGTGGGGGAGAGGGGGATAGGAGGGACCCTGGGGTGCTGGTCTGCAAACCAAACTGATATGTATGATTTCCCATTTTGTTTCTGTTTTTGGTCTTTAATGGAAAGTCTATTCTGAAGATAAATGCTAGAGGGAGGATTAGCAGCTGAGCTGAGGAAATTAAGGACTCCAAATTGGAGTAGGAGCTGTGTAAGGAAGATCCATAGCTCCCTCACTTCCTCAGGGGCTCTCTGCAGTGCAATCATTCACCTTAGCTCTGTGGAGGACACGCAGGTGAAAACAGGGCTACAGACATGAGCTGTGACACTGCAACCCCAGCCCTCCTGTATTAATTATTTCAGTGAATTAAATACATTTATCCTATGGCTCTCCCACCAGGGACCAGGGAAAGCAGCTCTCGTTGCTCTGCCAGAGCTTGTGGCTTCCCAGCTGCAGTCTGCTCTAGCCTAAGCTCAAGTCTGTGTATGGACATTCAAAAACCTGCAATCTGCTGTGATACAGCCACACAGACTGGGGACATGGTTTAGAGCTGGACTTGGGAGTGCTGTGGTAACAGCTGGACTCAAGGATCTTATAGATATTTTCCAGCCTAAACTTGTTTCTGTGATTCCGTGACAAAATATTGACTGGGAATGAGTTGCCCTGGGGCAAAGCTTTCCCTGAGGAGGTGGATGTGGCTCACTAAAGGAAAAGGGCTCTGTTAACCGGGCGGGGTGTGAGTGAGGATCGGATAACGCATCCCAGCACCTACCGTATGCCGGGTAGCAGACCTTGAGGCAGCAGAGCGTGCTGAGCACCGTCAGGCTGGCCAGGCTGCACAGCCCGAACAGGACCCCGCAGAAGGCGTAGAGCGTGCACACGGCCTGGTCGAAGAGCCACCTGCAAGGACAGCCCGAGGTGAGCCCGTCCCTGCCCCTCAGCCCTGCCCTCGGCTGCACTGGAGCTTCTCCTGCGTGGGAGTTTCCCAGCGGATTTCCCATTCCTGCAGCAGAGCTGGGCTCGTGTGGGAGGCTCCAATGGGCTGCACGCTGCAGCACCTGAGCTGCAAATATGGGCATGGCCTTGGCCCTGATTTGTTCCCTGAGCACCCCAAAGATGCCCGTGGGTGGAGCTGGGGGTGCAGGAGCTGCCCTGACCCACAGCAGCTCCCACCACTGCAGTGCCAGCTTGGACACCCACCCGCAGACCCCTTTTGCAGTGAGGAGCTGCAGGGACAGGGAGCAGAAAGCACAGGCTGTGGGATGGCTGCCTGGGAGCTTACGTGTGCCCCCGTGGCACCCCGAGCCCCTCTGCACCTGCCAGGGCTCTCCTGGCTCCCAGGCAGTGCGCACACCGGGCCACTGGCCAGGGCAGGGCGGCTCCCACGAGGTACCTGTGTGCAAAGAAGGAGGAGGTGGCCAGGGGGAAGAGCGTCACCGTCATGCTCAGGTCGCTGACGGCCAGGTTGACGATGAAGAGCTCGGCAGGTTTCAGCAGGGACCTCTTCTGATGGGCCACCAGCAGCAGCAGTGAGTTCCCAGACAGGGACAGGATGCCTGTGGAGGAGGCAGAGCATGGTGCTGAGTGTGACAGAGCCAGGACAGCACCAGGAGCATCCTGAGATGTTTGGAGGGAAACACTGCAAAGTCTGCAGAGCGTGGAGAGGGCTCCAGGCTTCCCTCTCTGGGGTGGGCTGAGCAGGGGAGCCCACGGGACCCACAGAGCTCTGTGAGCACATCTGGAGCTCCTTTACATTGGATTGGATCCCTTCCCCTCCCTGAGATCCTACAGAGGTGTTTGGTAAGAGGGCAGAGATGGGATGAGGCTGCAGCAGGCTCCGGGTGCAGGGTCTGGCCGCAGTCACTTGCTGCAGCTGAAGGAGCAAGGGGCACTTCCTCCCAGCTAGATAAACAGGAGCTCTGCGAGACTGCTCCTCTGATGTGGGGCCAGCGAGCTGGGCCCCTTGGCCTTCGCAATTTCTTCCTGGCAAAGTCACTCCTGTGAGTCTGCACTGTCCCATATCATGGTAACAAAATAAACAAGAAGAAAGGCATTAGGAAGATCAAGGAAAATCCAGACTAAACAAAAGAAGGCTCTTTGTTTGCTATTAATGTATTTAAATCAACAGCGGTGATTTAAGTTTTATAATAAGGGCTTTCTCTTTTTCATCACATAATTGTGATTTCATGGAAAAGAGGTTTCAGTGTCCTCAGAAGGGGAATCATTGCTGCTTTCGGGGCAGGTTGAGCAGGGTAAGAGTTCCTCCCTAATGGATTAGGCTGCAATTAAATCTCATGGCAAGAACCCGCTTCCAAAGCCACTGAATGGCCAACACTGAGCTCCCCTCAGGGAACAGGACTCCCACGTGGGATCTGGGCAAATCCAGAGCTCTGGAGGATTTGGAGTCACTGGAAAGCAGAGTATTGAGATGTTTATCCTTTTTCCCAGCCTCACAAGGCATTTTTCCCACAGAGCAAGTCTCACATCTGTGCTAAGTACACTTTATTAGCTTTTCCAACTCATGCTGAAGTCAACGGCCAGCTCGGGTTCCAGACCCTCTTCAATGGACCTGAAGCTGGTGGTACCAACAGAGCCCTTGCCTGTCTCACCTCAGGTGGCTGTGGTAGGAGTTACAGGACATTCCTCAAAGTTATTCAACTTCTCAAATATTTAAAACCATAACAGGAACTTGCAATTCACCTGAGAGGGGAATGCAGTCACCAGACCATACTTTTGGGTAACATGGGAAGGGTCAGTTTAATTAATCTGCTAATGACTGGACACTTCTAGAAGCACCAGTGACTGAAAAGGCCTGACTGTCTCTGGCAGGCAGCTGGGCAGGGACATGGGGATCAACAGGCCATCTTTCCTTACCAAAGACCAAATAGAGAGTGCCAAAAATCAGGTCTTCTCTCTCCGATAAGGTGGAGGTGAACACTGAGGTGTTGGACGCATTCCCCATCTGTAAAGCAAGACACACATGGGAGTGAGAGTGAATTCTGGCTGAGGAGGAGTGCCCAGCTCCCTGAGTTCCCCAGAGGATCTGTGACACATCCCTGGCCAGCAGGGTCCTCTGGCCAGCGCTGCCTGCAGCACTGAGCAGCCAGGGGTGGGCTCAGGCTGGTAATCCCACTTGACTGCCATTCCTCCAGCCACAGGTTTCACTGCTGAGCATCAGCCTTTGCGTGGCAATTCTCTGGGCAAGTCCTGGCCTTGTGTGACTGCACAGGCACGGCGTGTTGGGACACAGGGGCTGCCTGCTCGGAGCAGCCAGGACACCCCCGAGCTGGCAGCCCCCAGGGCTGATGGGTGGCAGCAGGACACAGGGCTGGTGGTGGGAGGGGGCTCTGGGCTCCTCTCCTCCCACCCTGGATGCTCAATTCTTCACAGCCCAGTGAAAATTATCTTCTTTACTCTCCTGTGCTTTTCAGAGTGTCTGTGTACAGGGATGGGAGATTTATATCTCCCTGTACAGACCAAGTGACTCTGCACATGAGAACGATGTTTTCATTAATCTAATTGGGAACAACCTTCATTTAGAGCTGAGCAAATCACTCCTGAATTTCTCATAATGCACAGTTCTCCCCTAGGCCACAGCTGATCTTCCTCAAGAGCCTTTGGAAGCAGCCAAGCTGAGCACATCACCTCTCCAAGAGGCTTTAGCAAAGCATCTGTGTATTCAGAGCACAGAGCCAGGGAAAAAGGAGGGACTGTGGCCACACAGCTGCACTGGTGATGAGACAGGGCAAGGCCCAGCATAAACAGTCTGGAAGGAATTGTTCCTGCTCCTCAGCACACATGCAGCAAAGGAGAGAACTGGCAAAGCTTGTAGGATTTGATTTCCTTCAGATCCCTGGCAGGTCTCCATCCTGCAGTACAGCAGGGGAGCTGCAAGTGTCCTGTGAGATCAGGCTGGCAAAAAGCACCAATAATCACAGGACAGGAATTTCTATTTCTGACATATTGCTTACGATAAACCTGATTTTCGTGATTGTGCTTGAGCTGCCTGTAAAGCACACCTCTCTCATTCTAATACAGAACTGATGAAAATGCATCTCTTGTTCTGATCAATGTGCTGCTGTCACTGACATAGACGATAAATCAGTTTTATAGAAATGTGGAGAGCTATCCCTCTTGTGTCCAAAAGTAAATCATAAATTGGATCCTCCCATCAAGGTGAGCATGTGGTGGGGGATACCTGCCCAGGCACATCCTTTAGGGAGAGTCACAAACTGCAGAAATATCAGTGCAGGTACCAAACACATCCACAATGATTTCTGACAGAAACAGCTACAGAAGTTTCCTTCCAACTCAGAAATATTCCAAACACATGACTGTGCTCAGTCAAGACGAAATCTGTGACTCCTGTGGGGGGATTCAGCCTAGACTGTCCTTGGAGGTACAGCCAGCACTGAGCAGCCCTTCAACATCAAACTGCTCAGCCACGTAGAGCTGCGTGCTCTGGGCACGCAGAGCTGCTGAATTTGATTTAAGCTCCATTGCTCAGACGCTGCTCTGAGAAGAGACAGACTGTGAAAGCTCCTTTCCCCTCAATTTAATCAGACTTCAAAATGAGATGCAGTTTTCCAAGCAGCTGCTGCCAGAGGTACATTACAAGGAAACCCTCGTATTCTGCATCCCAGCCCTTATTCCTGTGTTCACGGGAAGAATCAGACCTAAACCCAAACCTACACCCACGCCCGTGTCTGGCACCTGGGAGAACACTGGCATGGCTGGACTGGCCTGGTCACATGCACTCTGTCTGCATGGAAAATCCTGCTTTCATTTTGTGTGATTGTCAGCTTTGCCCTTTTCTCCTCCAGACTTGAACAGTTGCTTTCCTTCAGCAGACGTGCTACAAAGCCAGAGTCTGCCTTGGAGAGGAGGAAGAAACCTGATGAGCCTGGAAGCTCTCCTGACATCCAGACTCTTTCGATAGTCAACAGCAGAAATCAATTTCTGCAATTCCCAGCACAGGGGAAGCTCAGACACTGTTGCCTACCTAGCAAATAGTGCAGGCTTTAGAAAGTCACAGAATAGCAGAAGCACACAGCTGGGCAGCGCTCAGGGTGGGAAGGACAGGCAGCAGTGTGAGGACAGACCCCTACCCGAAATCACAGAGTTCTCCTGTGCCAGGGCTGCCCATCCCCACTGGCTACAGACAGTAAAACCTGCTTTCTGCCTCAGTTTCCCACCCGGGACTCCTGCAAGCCTCTTTTAGGGGAGTTCGACCCTGCCCACAGCCCCAAGCGTGTCACTCGCTCACACACACCGCCGGTGCTCAGGGCAGGCACGGAACACACAGCTCGGACCCGGGGGGCTCCCGGCGCTGCTGCACCCGGGCGGGACCCGTGTCCTGCCCTCACCCGGGGGGATCCGCGGGACCCGTGTCCTGCCCTCACCCGGGGGGATCCGCGGGACCCCTGTCCTGCCCTCACCGGGGGGGATCCGCAGGACCCCTGTCCTGCCCTCACCCGGGGGGATCCGCGGGACCGCTGTCCTGCCCTCACCCGGGGGGATCCGCAGGACCCCTGTCCTGCCCTCACCCGGGGGGATCCGCGGGACCCGTGTCCTGCCCTCACCCGGGGGGATCCGCGGGACTCCTGTCCTGCCCTCACCCGGGGGGATCCGCGGAACCCCTGTCCTGCCATCACCCGGGCTGGGGGCACCCGGGGCCCCGCGTCCCTCCGGGGCAGCGCCTCACCTTTCCCGGAGGAGTCCCGGGCGCTGCCCGCTCCTGTCCCCGCCGCAGGAACTTACCGGGGCTCCGCGGGGCGGAGGCGGCTCCGCCACTCGCTCAGCACCGCCGGCGACGGACAGCTCCGCTGGGCACCGCGCCGCGCTGAACTGAACTGTCCGCACCGCTCTGTGTCCCTCCCGCACGGCGCGGTGTCCCTCCCGCACCGCTCTGTGTCCCTCCCGCACGGCGCGGTGTCCCTCCCGCACCGCTCTGTGTCCCTCCCGCACGGCGCGGTGTCCCTCCCGCACCGCTCTGTGTCCCTCCCGCACCGCTCTGTCCCTCCCGCACCGCGCTGTCCCTCCCGCACCGCGCTGTGTCCCTCCCGCACCGCTCTGTGTCCCTCCCGCACCGCTCTGTGTCCCTCCCGCACCGCTCTGTCCCTCCCGCACCGCTCTGTGTCCCGCCCTGCCCGCGGAGCTGGCCGGGCTGAGGGACAAGGGACAAGGGACACGGCCTCCACCGCCCCGGTGTCTGCCCCCGGGGGTCACCCCGCTAACCGCCCCTGGAGCGGCGGTTTTCCCAGCAAGGGAAACTGAGGCACCAAGAGGGTTTTAAAGAGCTCTCCGTGGCCTCAGCGTTCCCGGGCTCGTTTTTAGCTCTGCTTGGCCACCCCTCTCCTGTGCCCCGAGCAAGACAGGCTGGTCACTCGCTCACCTGTCCCTGCAGACCCGGCTGGCCACCGGGCAGGACCCCGCGGCTCCAGGGACGTGCTCAGAGTGACGGTGGCGACGGGGACATGGGGGTCGCCGCACTGGCTCTGTTGTCAGTCGGAGCTGGGTTTTGTTCTCCACCCAAAGCATTTGATCTGTCTCTGCTTGGCAAAACAGGAGTCACAGTCATCACTTAATTTTGTTAATGTCCTCTACACCAAGAGCTTTCCCCTGGTTGCCAGTAAGAAATGGGAACGATATCAAAAATCCTAATATTAATTTTTTGAGCTCCAAATACTGACAGAGCTGCTGGTCAGCTTGGATCCAGGTGCCTACATTTGCTTCAGAACGGAAATCCAAAGCTGGAGAGATGCACAGCAATAGCTTTGTGTACCTATATGTGTGAAAGAGAATCATTTATGGGCTCACCAGCTATGTAAATAGATGCATACTGAGATTGTTATAAACTGAATGTTATTTGTTGTTTATGTTCCAGAAATACAAAAGGCCTCAGCCAAGTCTGAGGCCCCATTGTGCAGCCTCTCCACATGTCCAGAGCTAACCCAAAATCCCAACATGGCCCGGGGAATGTGCCCCATTTTCTCCCTTTCACCTGGAAGGGACCTGGGGGAAGATGCTCAGTAACAGCCACGGGACAGGGAGCTCTCAGCAGTCAGGATCTCACACAGGAGCAGCAGCACTTTGCACTCCACACCGTGCTGCCAGCAGCACCTGCCCTTTGTGGGCACACCTGCAGCATTGCATGATTGCTTCAGAGGGTTTTCCTTGGGAACCAACCTCCTTCCCGGTGCGTCTTCCCTCAACAGCAGCACTGCGTCCGTCAGCCCTTCTCACCCAGCCTGGGAATAGGGACTGAAGCCTTTGGGATAATTGAGTTCCCACCTGTTTGTGTGGCAGGGGAGCTGTGTGAGAAGGGGAGGAAGCTCAGGGGAGATGCCATGGAGCACACACAGACCCCAGTGTGCTGCTTCCCCTCATGTCTGCAAGAGTTTTCTCAGAAGAGATGGAGGAGCCAGGGGTTATGGAGGTGATGGGACAGGAAACCAAACCTGCAGGAAACCAGACTCTACACGCTTGGCTGTCCATGGAGCAGCTTTTTCTTCTTAAGCCTAAGCACACAGAGAGCTGTGCTCAAGCCCAGGCCCGCCACCCTTTTAACATTGCTTTTATGGCAGTGGTCAAGGCAGAGTCTTCAAAGGAGCCCTTTTGACCTGGGAATTAACCAGCAGATTGTCTTCTGGAAACCAAAACTGACCTGAGGCATAATTCTTTGCTGTGAATCCTAGAGAGGCTGGTGTAGTCTTTGTTATCTCAAGCAACTAATTTTGTTTTCTAAGTTCTCCCTTCTTCATCCTTCCAGCAGCTGGAGCATCACCTTTAACAATGCCAGGTTCCAGATCCAGGAGCAAGCATTCCAAATTCCACCTGTGAAATGAAGATTAGGGACTCCTTTTCTTACAAAGAACTTGAAAATGAAAACAAACAAAATCCAATTACTGTGGCTCTTCAAAATGTGTGTCTGGACTCTTCTTCAGCCAAGGGAAGCTGGCA